AGTACAAGATCTGAGTACTTAGCTAGCTCAACGATAATATTGCGACAGAAAAACGTTTCAGTTCACATCACGCTCTGCCGCTCCGACAGGGAGTTCTGCTCTGGACACCTGAACGGCCCGTTCTAACAGCTGTTCACCAGCGGTCAGTCTGTGCCAGTGCTTGAATTGGAATGAAAAAGGTGCCAGTACTCTAAAATCAGCAACTTTTTCAAGTCAATTTTATATATACAGCCCACAAACAAGAATTTGGCTACTATAATGCTGGTGGGTTTGTCTCTTTACTACTGTATATTTTAGAAAGGTTCACTGTACTTAACATTTTTTATGATAGGCAGCGGATATGGCTAAAGCTCAGTAAGGTCAATATTAACTGAAAATATAGCAATCAAAGTCTAGATCTTCTGCTGAAGACACATGAAGCAGAGACCTTTCAGGTGAGAGCCCCTCTGGTGGTGTTCAACATTAATGACAAGGAAACAAAGCTCTGGTCAGAAGCATTTTTTATAAAAAGCTTTAACAAAATGAAGTATTTCTGTACATTTTGAATGCAATCTAACTTTCCAACTCAGAAAACGAAAAACGAAAAAGTGCCAAAAGTCTTCTCACATGGCTGAGCTGCTTTGCAATATACTTCACCACTGAATAATACAAATATGTATAAAGTAAACTATGATGCAATCTAACTTTCCAACTCAGAAAAAATGATAAAGAGCATGAACAAAGAACATGTAAAAACAAATGCAAAATTTGCACAATCTAAAATGAGAAACTGTAACTGCAAGTAACAAAGTCTGAGCCATGGTAAAGAGTTACATTGAACACCAAGCTGATCAGATAACTCCCTGGTTGGTCTGAAGTCCTTCTATCTCCAGGATCTGTACAAATCGGCACATTATGCCAAAAGTCTTCTCACTGGGTGAGCTGCTTTGCAATATACTTCACATTGTTAGAAAAGGCTCCAGAAGGCCTTGGGGACATCAGTATCAGGGGCTGGAGCTGGTCAGGCTCTTTCATCAGCACTTCTCCTTCCCTTTGCCAGCCAGGACCTCACATACTGTTCCGGATTGAACTGTCCTAGTGATGGTCCATTACATTTAATGAAAACCAGGCTGGACAGTCGGCTGACAGAGAGAGCATTCCTTTTTGCAGTAAGGATATCGTTCATGCAGCTGAATGCCCGCTCACACTCACTAGTGGAGACAGCGATGGTTCGGACTGCTTTCAGTAGAGGCTCCATGGCAGCAGGTGTACGGGATGCTCTGGTTTCCTTGTATTCGCGAAAGCCCTGAACAGTCTCTCTTCTGTCCACTTTCAGCACTTCGCACAAACGTAGCACCTCTACGTCCCCATACTGTACGTCTAACTCCTCTTCAGGCCAACTTCCAGGATGGATAACTTTCATGTCCTGGATTAGCTGATTGTCCCGGGCCTCCCGGCCATGTAATGGGATTTCTCTTGTGCTGACATGAGAGGAGGTTGTGGAAGTCATTCTGTGTCTCAGATTCTCTACCATACTGCGGAAAAAACTGACCTGCATGAATCTGTACAAGCCTGCCATTCTCACGCAGGGCAACACCCTTGAAGGACTTCTCAGCTAGAGCTGTATGAACTGTAGTCATGTGTGGGCCAGGCATGGTGACCATGGATTCAAAAACTCGTATTTCTCGAGTTAAGAGCCTATCTGCTGTAGGCAGTGTCATCTCTCTTTTTTGGAGTTGCCGAGAGAGGTCGCTGAGCTCTGTGAGCGCATCGTACATCAGTCCCAGATTGCTGACAAACGTTGCAGATGTGAGCACATCATCCAGGCCCTTGTACTTTGCTCTGTCTCTGGAATCCCTGCTCGTGTCGTTTGCAGCATTTGTGAAGTGATCATGAAGCACTCGGTAGTTTTCCCAGACTGCTCTGACGCTCCTTTCACTTGAAGCCACCCAGCGGATGGACAAAACACGCCCTATCACCAGGAGACGCTGTCCGACTGCTTGCGCACACTGCGCTAACTGCCTCTGATTTTTGGGGGAGGCATGGAACAAGGAATAGAGTTTGTCAAAAAAGATCTGGAAATGATTGAGCCCTGAGACCTCCTTGACCACATCCCCAACTGCCAGCTCTAGACGATGATTGGAGCAGTGCCACACAAACAGGCTTGGGAATTTACTACACAACTGGGTAGCAACGCCTGTTCTCTTCCCTAGCATGACTGAAGCCCCATCACATGCAAAAGAAACGAAACACTGACCTAAAAAGTCCTCGTTAAAATCTCTTCCAAGACACTCCATTAACGCCTTTGTGATGTCATCAGCCGTTGTTCCATCCAACTCGATCAGCTCCCAAAAAAACGTTTCGGGCTCAGCATCAGCTAATGCTGAGCGTAGACACACAACAAGCACCGTTTTACCACTAATAGTGGTAGATTCATCGACCAAAACACAGAGTTTTCTTTGGTTTTCTGTAATGTCTTTTGCCATTTTTTTCTTCAGCTCATGAGCTATGTGGTCGATGATTTCGCCACAGGTTTTATTGGAGTGCAAAACCCTGCCCACGTTCAGCCCATTCAGTTTCTGTACATTCAAATCAATTGGCATGTCTGTGAATGGCCGGCTATGTTTGCCAATTTTATATGCCGTTCGAAAAACTCTGATAGTGGTGTCTAATTCAGATTTATGCATAGACTGCACTTGATGTTGAATAGTTTCACATGAAGCAGATGTAAGGATGTCAGCAGCTTTTACATGGGCTTGTGATTCTTTATGTTCTTTGATTTTTTTTCTCAGGCTAGCTTGCCCTTGTCAACACCGAAATGAGACACTGCACACTCACCCCATTCAGTTGACAGTTTCAGTCCTTGTCCAGTGTGTATTCCCAAAGATTTGACATCTCTGCATATCCGACATCCTAGCTTCTTATCTTTAAGAAGGAGCCATGCATTGGTCTTGCAAAAATATTGCACCTGATCCGTTGTCCAGCAGTCAGGTGCATCGCTTTGCCCGGTGTTGGTGGTGGCAGTTGCGCCAGCAGCAGCTAACGTTAGAGGCTCTGGAGGAGGCGGCGGAGCTAGTGCTAATGCTAATGCACTAGAACTTGGAGCAGGAGGATCAACCAAAGAAAGCTCCCCATCAGACACAATTTCCAACACAGGCACAGCATTCTCTGTATTTGAAGTTTCTTCCGGCGACAACCGCTGTCTTTTTGCACTTTTATTAATCCACGCTAACATGTTAGAAATGCTAATTTGTGACGTGACTTGCTTTCCTTCTCTCGGGGGCGTGCCTGCTCTGTTCTATCACTCTACATAGCCACCCACTGGGTGGGAGTTGCACTGCATAAACACAACACACGTGCATCTAGGTATGTAAATTGTAAAGCATTAAAACATGGTTTTACTAACAGTTTTCAGTATGTTGTTACTTCGGCATTATTATTATTATTATTATTATTTTGAAACGTGTATTACTATTAAATCACGGTCAAATAGGTTAATTTTGACATAGTCGTTTCCACCACAGTATTTACATGGAGAAGATAAGCCCCGCCCCCTCTCCAGCACGTTCTGTTTGAATGACAGGAGTAAACAGCTGACAGCCGCTGTGAAACTCCAGCGGTTAGAGCAGTGGTTCTCAAAGTGGGGGGCGCGCCACCCCTGGGGGGCGCAGAGGCATGCCAGGGGGGGCGCGAGAGACCAGGAGGAAAAATTGTTATTAAAAAAAAAAAAAAAGATTAAAAAAAAAAAAATCATAATTTGAAAAATTATTGATTCGAAAATAATATGATGCAGTACAGTACTATTACGTCTGGGTCTCTGTGTTTCATTAAAGCTCGACTCATTTTGTGTGCGCGAGAGAGAGAGAGAGCGCACCGATACTGGAGATCGTTGTTGTTAGCTTCTGGTGCTAGCGAGCTACGCTAACGGATATAAGGAGTTTTTTCAACAACAAAGTGCAGGAGAGTCCTCTACTGTCAGACTGAGAGACTCAGTGAGCTAAAGGACTCTCTCAGTGGGTCTCAAATGTTTTGGTCACCATTAATGTAAACAATTATTTCCGAGGCACACGTTTAAATGATCATTGTAGTTATACAAAAATAAGAGAATAAATGAAAAACAGGTATGAAATACTATATGACAGTAAAAAAAGAATAACGTTTAAAAGGGTGATTTGTAAAATATCCATAAATAAAAAGTAAATCTGTTAACAGGTCTGTTTCAAATGGGTGTTGAGAGATGTATCCATAGATCTCTTCATTTTGCTCCTAAAGTGCACCAGATTGATGCTTTTAACTTCAATATTTAAAAATAAATCTTCCCGGGCGAGCTTGCCCCCGGACCCCCCTATGTGAGGTCCACACACCACCTATAAAAATAGCACTTTACCCCTGCTTGCCGTGAGCTGATTATCGAGCCTTCATTGTAACAGTCGCGGGTACACTGTGTATTTGCGTGGGGAGTGTTGCAGTAGAAAATTCCACTGTAGCGCCCGGTACATTAAACCCTAAATGTTTGAGCTACCCCACAGCACCCCGAAAATAAATCTCTGGCGCCGCCACTGAGCCTGACTATTTGTGTTGGGGGGGCCCGACTTTTTTTTTTCTCCAAAGGGGGGGCCTGACAGAAAAAGTTTGAGAACCACTGGGTTAGAGCGATGAGAATGTCCGTTCGGCACCTCATGACGCATCTACTGAGTAGGGGAGAGTGGGGTAAGTAGTGCCAATTTTTACTTAAAGTGCCTTTAAAGCAAGGGGATTACAGTAATGCCTCCAACTAAAATATGTACATATAGTTTAGGATGTTGTGCATCCCTGGGAACAATCACTTCGGATCTTAAATAAACTGTTTGAGAAATATAGCTTTAGAAAAAAAAGTGGTTTTGTGGCACAACTTGCCCCCGGTGCGGGGTAAGTTGTGCCATTAGAGACAATACACTGGGGTAAATTGTGCCATTGATAATTGAAGTAAAACAGATCATTTTAATCTCACAAACAATAATGCTATATAAAAGCAAGACACATTCAATACAAAATTATTTATTTAATGTTTATTTAAAGTTTTAACAACATCAAAGGCCACTTTAAAAATGAGCAGCAAATCATCTGCATCTGAATCTCTTCACAGATTCGGCCTACTACTGAACATCCCACTTGTCAATGCTGCAGGGGAATGTGAATGTATACTCCCTTCTGGCTGTACCACCAAGTTTTTGTGGTGTGGGTAGTTTCTTGAGCACATCACCTCTAGGGATGACTCCTTCATCATTCTCTCTAAATGTGAAGATGGGCTTTCCATCAACAGACCTCTTATAACTTTGCTTCAGAAACTTTGCACTGATCTCGTCACCTTCAACATTCTCCACCAATCCAACATAGTTATAGCATTTGGATTTTTTACCTGCAAACTTCACAATGACAAAGTCACCAGCAGACAGATCCTTGTCACCATCATCATCATCACTCTGGACATCTGAACTCTCATAATGAGTGGTATCGCTAAGTGGAATCGGAAAGTCACTCTCTTCTGAGCTACTGGAGAGCACTTTCTTTTTGGGCTTGGTTGGTTTTGACCCTTTCAGAGCCCCCTTCTTATTTCCACTCCTTTTCTTCTTCTCAGCCCGTTCCTTTTCTCTGCTGTGTGTCTTCTCCAGACCATCTTCTGCCTCATCATTGGTGGTGGAGCTTTCTTCTGAGCTACTGTACACAGCTGTTTTCTTCTTGGTTTTGGTTTGATTTGCAGCTTTCAGAGCCCTTTTCTTCTCTCTTTCATTCTTTTTCTTTTCCTGTTCAGCCTTTTTATCTTCTTTTTCTTTGTGAGCCTTCTCCAACTCCATCTTCTCAGGTGTGTCGGTCACGATTCTTGTTTTCACTTTCTTTCTTACACATTTTTTTTTTCTTTCTGTGGCTTTTGGCAAGGGAAGAATGACTTCTGGAGACACATAACCCAAGTGAGCAGAAGAACCAGATTTGTCACTTGATAAGTGCTCGGGATTTGTCAGAGTGGCAGGTGGCTCTCCTGGGTCTGGATCTGCTTCAAGGAAAGGAAAGGAAAGGAAAGGAACTTTATTGTCATTGAACACAGGGAACAACAAGATTACGCGGTCAGGTGGAGGGTAAGCCTGAGCCATGCCACTATGCGCACCGCCACTATTGGCCTACCAGACTTTTTTTTTAAATACCTGTGACATGTGTTGGCTCATGAGATGGTCCAGGCAGGTGAGCAGCTGCACTGGTGGAGGGCTCTTCTCCAGGCAGGTGAGCAGCTGCACTGGTGGAGGGCTCTTCTCCAGGCAGGTCAGCAGTGGCACTGGGTTCATCTTCTGGATTTGCCCTGTCTGTCACCATTGATGGTGCATAGTCTTCTTCCGGGAAGATGTCCCTGTTGAAAGGGTATATGCCTGTTGCTCTGAACCCTGAGGTTATGTTTGTTGGTGACATTGCAGAGAGGAACGCTTGCTTCACAAGTTCCGAGACCTCATAGATTGATACGGTTCGCCCAGGATGTGATCGCATCCACCCATCCATCGCTCGGTTATAATAGGTTTTGAGTGGTCCATAGACAGTTTTGTCTAATGGTTGCAAGCGGTGTGAGGTATGAGGTGGCAGGGTGAGCATAATGACCCCATTCTCTTTAGCAATTGTCACTGACTTGAGTGAGATGTGAGACTCATGGTTGTCCAGAATGAGCAGGACTGGGTGATCGGTGGAGCAGTTGGTGTGGCGGATGAAGTGCTTCAGGAAGATGAGGAAGGCGTCTTCATTCATCCATCCAGACTTTGTACAATGACCAATGGAACCTGCTGGTGATCCATTGAGGAGGCTGTCCTTGAAGCGGACACGCGGGAAAATGAACATGGGTGGGACTGCATTTCCAGTGGCGTTTACTGCACAGGCCACAGTGACGAGCTCTCCTCTTTCAGCAGATGTTACTGAACCCACTTGTTTCTTCCCTTTTTCTGTGACAACCTGCTTGGGTGTCTGCACTGTCGTCACACACCAGTTTCATCCATGTTGTAACATCATGTGGGGAGGGAAAGCTGTACCTGAAATGAAATAAAAGGTAGTGCTGATGATCAGAGAGTTTAAAGCAGTTTTAACATACTTGGATGTGGTTGTGTGTGTAAATGTCAGAGGACAGAAGACCCTCTAGAGATGCTGTGCCCTCTCGCCAGGCTGCCAGGTTACCTAGTCAGGGTGTGGGTGGGTGGAGAGAGAGAGAGAGAGAGAGAGAGAGAGAGAGAGAGAGGAGAGAGAGAGAGAGAGAGAGGAGAGAGAGAGAGATCGAGAGAGAAGGAGAGAGAGCGATAGGAGCTGAGCTGCTCTAGAGCGTCCGATAGCTCGCCTAAGAGAGAGTAGAGAGGATGAGTGATGCGAGCGAGAGAGAGAAGAGAGAGAGAGAGAGAGGAGTGATCATATCAGCATGTCAAGCCAGATGATTATTAAGTTACCTGTCCTTCACTTTAGAGAGGTTATCAAAGAACTCCCCCACGTTGTGCTTATTAAAGGCAGTAGCTCTTCCAAGAGAGGTTGCTTCAGGAACGCGGCATGCCAAATGGGTAGCGTGCTTTTAAAGGCGTTGAACCAATCAGGTCCTAGAAAAGGTTAAAAGTTTATCAGCACATTGCAGTTTACATTCAGATAAGTTGAAGTTATCCGCTCCAAATAACTATCCAATAGCCTATACTTGATCTAACCTGCTTTTTCGTCTCTGGTCCAGCTGGCAGGCATGTCAATGCTATTTCTTTGTGCGAACTCAAAAGCCAGTTCACGGCATTTCATGACACCTATGCCATGAAACATTGCTGCTAGTGTCTTAATATGGTCAGCCAGCTCTTTCTCCATGTTCTCATTGAAGACTCGTTTGGCGACTGCTGTTCTTTCATAGCCTGGCTTTGTTACTTCTCCTATTTTTTTCTTATCCATATGTCTTTTTATGGTCATCCTGCAGATCTTCATCTCCTTTCCAACCTGACGTATGGTCTTCCCCTGTTGCACCTCTTTCACTGCTCTTTCCAACTCCTCAAGAGGAGTTGAAACCCTGTCTGTCTTCCTTTTGTATGTGCGTGGCATGATGGATTTTGGTCTAAAATTAAGAATGTCACATAGTTTTAGTGATCAAATGTAAGAATACAATGTACAATAACAATAAAATACAATAAAGTAATATATAGTAAATAATCATAAATTGGGGTAAGTTGTGCCACTGGCACAACTTACCCCAGGCCCTTTGGCACAAATCACCCCAAGCCCACCATTTTGAAAAAAATGCATCCCCCAGCTTTTTTGAGCTAGCATCATGCTAACTGTATAGACTCATGGCGTAGCTTACTAAAGCACTAAAACATGTGTGAACTGTTTTTAAAGTTGTCTAAATTGTTCAAACACAGCAATCAAAAAACCTTGATCATAGACATTTTACTTTGGAGGGCAAAAAATTGTTTTTTTAACTTAAATGTGCTTACCTCTCAAGCCATGTGACTCCCTTCTTTGCAGGATGATCGAAATGGATGCCTCTTCAAAAATATGTGGTCACATGACCAACTTCTGTTGGGGACATTGAACCAGAGTGGTCGGTGTTCAAAGCCTCTATTGCCGAAGCCGCGGCGGGGAGCTGTGGTCTCAAGGTCCTAGGTGCCTCAAGGGGCGGTAACCCTCGAACCTCCTGGTGGACACCGGTGGTCAGGGAAGCCGTCCGACTGAAGAAGGAGGCCTTCAGGGATTTGTTATCCCGGGGGACTCCCGAGGCAGTTGCAAGGTACCGACAGGCCCGAAGGGCAGCAGCCTCATCCGTGGCCGAGGCAAAGCAGCGGGTGTGGGAGAAGTTCGGAGAAGACATGGAGAAGGACTTTCGGGCGGCACCAAAGTTGTTCTGGAAAACTGTCCGACACCTCAGGAGGGGGAAGCAGGGAACCATCCAAGCTGTGTACAGTAAGGATGGGACGTTGTTGACCTCAACTGATGGAGTGTTAGGGCGTTGGAAGGAACACTTTGAGGAACTCCTGAACCCGACAACTCCGCCCTCTATGTTAGAGGCAGAGCTGGAGTATGACGGGGGATCAACACCAATCTCCCGGGGGGAGGTCACTGAGGTCGTCAAACAACTCCACAGTGGCAAAGCCCCGGGGGTGGATGAGATCCGCCCGGAAATGCTGAAGGCTCTGGGTGTTGAGGGACTGTCATGGTTGACACGTCTCATCAACGTTGCGTGGAAGTCGGAAACAGTACCGAAGGAGTGGCAGACCGGGGTGGTGGTTCCCCTATTTAAAAAGGGGGATCAGAGGGTGTGTGCCAATTACAGAGGCATCACACTACTCAGCCTCCCCGGGAAAGTTTACTCTAAGGTACTCGAAAGGAGGGTCAGGCCGATTGTCGAACCTCAGATTGAGGAGGAACAATGCGGATTCCGTCCTGGTCGTGGAACGACGGATCAGCTTTTTACTCTCGCAAGGATCCTGGAGGGGGCCTGGGAGTACGCTTATCCGGTCTACATGTGTTTTGTAGACTTGGAGAAGGCGTATGACCGAGTTCCCAGGGAGGTACTGTGGGAGGTGCTGCGGGAGTATGGGGTGAGGGGGTCTCTACTCAGGGCCATCCAATCTCTGTACTCCCAAAGCGAGAGCTGTGTCCGGGTCCTCGGCAGTAAGTCGGACCCATTTCCGGTGAGGGTTGGCCTCCGCCAGGGCTGCGCTTTGTCACCAATCCTGTTTGTAATATACATGGATCGGATTTCGAGGCGTAGTCATGGGGGAGGGGGTCTGCGGTTCGGTGGACTAAGGATTGCACCACTGCTTTTTGCAGATGATGTGGTTCTAATGGCTTCATCGGTCTGCGACCTTCAGCACTCACTGGATCGGTTCGCAACCGAGTGTGAAGCGGCTGGGATGAGGATCAGCACCTCCAAATCTGAGGCCATGGTTCTCAGCAGGAAACCGATGGACTGTCCACTCCAGGTAGGGAATGAGTCCTTACCCCAAGTGAAGGAGTTCAAGTATCTCGGGGTCTTGTTCTCGAGTGAGGGAACAATGGAGCGTGAGATGGGCCGGAGAATCGGAGCAGCGGGAGCGGTACTTGCAGTCGCTTTACCGCACCGTTTGTGACGAAAAGGGAGCTGAGCCAGAAGGCAAAGCTCTCGGTCTTCTGGGCCATTTTCGTTCCTACCCTCACCTATGGTCATGAAGGATGGGTCATGACCGAAAGAACGAGATCGCGGATACAAGCGGCCGAGATGGGTTTTCTCCGCAGGGTGGCTGGTGTCTCCCTTAGGGATAAGGTGAGAAGTTCGGTCATCAGGAGGGACTCGGAGTTGAGCCGCTCCTCCTTCGCGTCGAAAGGAGCCAGTTGAGGTGGTTCGGGCACCTAGTTAGGATGCCACCTGGGCGCCTCCCTAGGGAGGTGTTCCAGGCACGTCCAGCTGGGAAGAGACCAAGGGGTAGACCTAGGACCAGGTGGAGGGATTATATCTCTTCGCTGGCCTGGGAGCGCCTTGGGATCCCCCAGTCAGAGCTGGTTGATGTCGCCAGGGAAAAGAAAGTTTGGGGCTCTCTGCTGGAACTGCTACCCCCGCGACCCGACCACGGATAAGCGGGAGAAGATGGATGGATGGATGACCAACTTCTTCTATGGTTTTCTAGATAACAGGGGTGGCACTACTTGCCCCTTGGCACAAATTACCCCACTCTCCCCTACCGGGCGGCTGTATATATATATATGGATGTATAATAAGAACGGCGGGAGAGTGTTGAGTACTGGCACGGTGCATGAGTACCGGAGTACCGCCAGCATGCCGGTACTGAGCAAGAAGTGCCGGTACTCCATGGGTCAGAACCAGAAGTGCCGGTACTGCGTACCGGTGAGTACCGGCCCAATTACCGGCCCAATTCCAGCACTGTCACTGTGGCACAGACTCTGTGCCACAGTGACTCCGGACCGCACAGTTAATATTAACGAACGCAGTAGGTAATGTGGCTGCTGAAGCTAGACCATCATCGCGGAGCAGCAGAGCCTTATAATACATCCATGAGCAGAGCCGACAGGGAGGAAGACTCGAGCACACAGCTCGCACTGCATATATATAAAAAGAACACCATGCGTGTCATGATGGCACATAACAGCTCGCGGCCGCAGATTACTCCGGGTCCCAGACCCCCCTCCATACCCCAAACATATTTTTATTGCAGATCTACATGAATCACACAAACGACATATTTTTTATTCAAAACGGCGAATTTCGCCGAAAGGTGACAAGTTTGCATCCCTGGACAGGGATATCTGCTCTGTGGATGACTGCCAGCCCACCACCACGACCAATGGAGCGGGGCTGTTGGATATAAGCATAACCTGGGGGGCGGTGGCTAGGTTGAGTGTGAGGAAGTCCTGTTGCCATGTCTCAGTGAGGCAGAGAAAATCCAATTTCCTATCAATGATGATTTCATTAATAAGTGATGCTTTGTTGTTAACCCTTGTGCCCTCCTCGGGCATTTTTGTACATTTTCCTGACTTTTATTTTTTATTTGGTAATCATTTCAGCTGTGTTACAGCTTTTGGCATGGAATTCTGTAAGAAGTCTTCTTTTGAGTCACATTTTTGAAATCCATTGTCGTTTACTCTTACATGTTTTGTATACTCTCGTGATGCATTTTGTACCCTCTGGACACCTTCGTGGCAAAAATGTACACGCCCATAATAACTGCTATTAAATCATCATACATGAATTTTTTTTTCTACTTTTTTTTTCATGAATCACTTAAACAACTTATAACGTACTCAAAACTACCAAACATTCAATAATATTCTGGATTTTAACCCATTCAATGCCTGTTTAATTATTTGCATTATTTATTACAAAAAAACACAAAACCTTACCTTTTTTCAATATAACAATTAGTAGAGGGATGGGGCTTTGGTGGTTATTAGAGTCTTGGATGAGTCAAAGATTGACAATAAAATTGATTTGACTGCATTATTATTTTTTACGTAGTGTCAGATACTACCTCTGGACCCCTTCGTGGCAAAAATGTACACGCCCATAATAACTGCTATTAAATCATCATACATCAACATTTCTTTCTACTTTTTTTTTCAGAAATCACTTAAACAACTTATAACGTACTAAAATCTACCAAATATTCGATATTTTTCAGGATGTTAACCCATTAAATGCCTGTTTCATTATCTGAATTATCTCATTATTTATTGAAAAAGAACACAAAATATGAAAAATGTTCGATATAATAATTAGTAGGGTCATGGAACTTTGGTGGTTATTAGAGTCTTGGATGAGTCAAAGATTAGCAACAAAATTGATTTGACTGCATTATTATTTTTTACGTAGTGTCAGATACTACCTCTGGACACCTTTGTGGCAACAAATGCCTCATTGACTGCCATTCAAACCACCTTTTTTGCCATTGCAGTATAAAACCATGCATTTTGTGTGTGTGTGTGTGTGTGTGTGTGTGTGTGTGTGTGTGTATCTGTAAGCATGCACTGATCATTTCAGGGTAAAAAAAAGGGCATCTTGTGTGTATCTGTAAACATGCACTGATCATTTCAGGGTAAAAAAAAGGGCATCTTGTGTGTATCTGTAAGCATGCACTGATCATTTCAGGGTAAAAAAAAGGGCATCTTGTGTGTATCTGTAAGCATGCACTGATCATTTCAGGGTAAAAAAAAAAAGGGCATCTTTTTATGGGCTCAGAACAGTCTCATAATACACACATGCACACAGAAGGATTCAAAAACTTGTATTTCCGGATCCATACTTGTGTTTTTCAAAGCACACACAAATGTATTCCGTTTCATATACATGTAAATAAAGTCCAAATACAGAAAAAAGTTTTACATATGTATTTTTGATCCTCACTTATTAGTTTTCCGTTTAAATCCCCTGCACCTGCAAACACAAACCGCTTTCTGTGCACGGATCGCTGTGCATTCGTGTGTGGGTTTTTTGAGACTCCCCTGAAGGTCAGCCGATTCGTACTTGTAATTTTTTCTATCTATAGCCAATCAGATGTCTCCTTCATTCTAAGCCAATCACATGAGCGCGCCTCCACGAGGGTAAGATTACTTCATATACGCATTTTGCGCAGGCCGGTCAGCTCGCTAAACAGAGGGCGGAGCATCAGGTGATCATACAGAGCAGCGTGTCTCCATTAGACTCAGCAGCTGATATGATCTCTCTCTTGCGTCCGGTTATACTTCACTCGCGTTTATGTCCATATCGATCAGATCCAGCTCTCCTGATCGGCCTTTATAGAGAGCACCGATCAAACTATTAAGAGTGAATATCGGCCGATAATGACCGGCGGGGCTCCCCCCGTTGACAGTTCACTGTCTAGCACTGGCTTCCTAGTGCACTGATCGATTAGGCTAAGCTAACCTGTAGCTGCTCCCTCCACACTCACAACAACTTCATACAGACGTAAATAAAGCATGCTGTATTCGTCATACAGGAAACATACATTTAAAACGGTTTTGCCTGCCGTTTTTGTGTACACAAGCATTCATCAATGG